CCCCCCAGCAGGTCTGCGGGATGCCAGTCTAGACCCAACCACATCCCACCATGCAGCAACCCAAAACCTCTGCCACAGCGCAGCCTGCCAGCCCTGGCACTGGGATCTCTGTGCTCACAGGAGCCAGCACAGGCACTCACGGCGACAGGCATTGGTGCTGGAGCCCTCAGCTGGGCGCCAGGGCAGGTCGTGGTAGAAATCCTCACAGCGCTCACAGTTCAGCCCTGTTGTGTGGTGCTTGCAGACACAGCGCCCGTGCACCTGCCGGGATGCCTGGGTGAGGGGCTGCAGGACCAGGCAGCACAGCTACCCAGCTCGAGCAGGGCACGTGGGACTGGTTCACCCTACCATGCCGTCGGTGGTGGCGGGGGGCCCCACGCCTGAGCGGGGCGCACTCGGAGGCATGCCCGTAGCAGAAGCAGTTCCCGCGCATCACCAGCTCGTAGAGCGCGTAGTAGTACTTCTCCCGGATCTCCCGCCGCGAGTCCAGCAGGTTGTCCCCCAGCGTGTGCAGCTTGGTGAGGTTCACCCGCAGGTTGGTGACACGCAGCAGGTCTGGGGCAGGGAGAGACCCTTGTTGGCATGGAGTGGCTGGACACATCCATGTGCAGTTTGCCTCTGCCAGGCACAGCTGAGCTGGGCTGTGCAGGGCACAGGAGGCTGTGGGGGGTTGAGAAGAGCTGGGCAAGGCTCAGCTCTGCTGGGCATGGCTGGGGTGAGCTATGCATGGCATGGGGTGTCCGTGCAGGACTGCACACTGTCAGGCTGGGTTGTCCTGGTTTTCTACAGCACAGTGTATTGGCCCAGGGCTGTGCATGGTTTGGCTCACAGGCACGTGGTTGCATGTGGCCAGGCAGGGCTGTATGTAGCTGTGGGGGTTCAACTCCTATGCATGTGACTTTGCAGTCTGGCTGTGCGTGGGCTAGGTCTCTGCACCTCCCCAGCAGAGGCAGGCCGGGACCCTACCAGTGCAAAACAACACCCTGGGCACAGCACCTTTCTGGGCAGTGGGGCTCACACCACTGGGGGCTGTGCACAGGAGATGACCGTGCCTGGAGGGCACAGCCTGGGGGCTCCAGCAAGACAGGACAACTCCCCCAGAACTGCAGCTTCCCAGCAGCCCTGCCCTGCAGATTCCTCCTTTCTAGCTCCCAGTCTAAATTTAGCCTTGGGTGATTAACCCCCTGTGTCCAGCCTGACTCCTGTGCACGTCATCAAACCCACCCTGCACCGCGGCCGCTGCTCAGTGCTGGGCTCAAGTGTGGCACATCCATCCCCCTCCACTTGACCCAACGTAGCCTGACCTTTAGCTGCTCCCACAGGGCAGGGAGCAGAGGGACCCGAGCCCCTGCAGGCTGGATCAAGCCCTGACCCTGCTGTGGGGCTCAGAGCAGGGAGAGAGCAGCCAAAATAGCTGCGCCCAAAATAGAGCAGCCAGGCAGGAGCCCCAAGTCGACAACTCACTCTGGATGGCAGGGCTGTAGGGGTCCCGGATGGGGATGGCAGGGTCCAGCACCCGGTAGATCACCTGCGGGGGACAACAAGGTGATGAGGGGAGAGCAGAGGTCCCCTGACCCTCCCTGGGCACCACCGGGGTCTCACCTCCCCCTCAGTGGAAGGCTCGATGTCAGAGTAGCGGGACTCGCAGACGACGTCGTCAATGCGGCGCGGGGACCCATGTGGGACGTGTGGAAAGGAGGCAGCACAGTCGTAGGCGAAGTAGCGATAGACTTTCCAGGTGCGCCCAAAGTCAGCCGAGCGCTCCACCAGCAAAGCCGCGGGGCGGAAGGTCTGCAGGACACCCAGGTGGGACGGGGCCAGCCACACAGCCCCAGGGGCCTGTCCCATCCCAGCCTGTCCCATGGGTACCCTTGTGCTGGGACCCACCTTGAAGGTCATGATGAGGTGGGTGAAGTGGAACTCAGCCTCCAGGTCCAGCTGGATGCTGACGTGCTCCATGCCTGGGGACAGCAGGTATGACCACAGGGTCACCCACCCGCGGACCCCGGGGGCTCGTCACTGCCCACCCC